GGCACACACGCCGAGTCCAGCAGTATACAACCGTGAAAACTGTAGACTGCGAAGCCAAACGGTCAACGAGTGAGGAATCATAAAAGCGGAAAAGGCAATCACGAAATGTAAGTGGAGAAAAAACCCTATCAGTCATGATAGGGCAGCGCAGAGATAAAGCAAGGGAAAGCGATGAGAAAGAAGAGATAGGATAATAAGGAAGACCAGAAAGTAACGGCACACCGAAGTTACACAGCTGGAATTAAAAACCACGGCTAGTTTGGATGAGAGAACGGAAGTTAAGCGTCTGCGAAACAAAAACGACTGAGGGAGAGAGCCAAGGCGAGAGGTCAAAAGTCGTTTAAGAGACTCACAGACGGGAGTAACTCTTCAATTAGTTTTCCAGGCTCCCACTGAGAGGGACAGGGTGAACCGCGCTCAGAAATGGAATTCCCGCCGAGGGAGTCGGATTCGGAGGGGGAAGCGAAGAGACCTCCGGTAGCGGAGATCCAAGTAAGAACGGCAGAAGGCAGGTAGCCAGCCTGCCGAAGGTTCGAAACGAGGCTCAGGTCTAGCGGAGCAGATAGGCGTTTAGAAAACTTCTTTCCTGAGCTGAAATGCGTGGGATTGACAAGAGACGTTACCAATGGACTGTAGAAGATTGTTCTAATAGCGAATTACCGCTGCCATGTCGCGAAGAAAAAACAGGTACCGGAGTGCAAACGACAAAAAGACAGACATACACTCGGAATGCAACTTACTTCACTTATCCAACATAGACAGTACATTATACTACTCGTGATAAGTGAGTAACCATGTTTTCTTACTATTTTAACTATCCAACAACTGCAGGTAATTGGCGAATTTTTTTTTAATTTTTCTTTCTATTCATATATTTATTATCATCTTGATACCAACAGGGGGTTTACAAGCATTCGCATATCTGAAAAAGCAGGCTTTCTGAGGAACATTATGGTCTGGGTAAAAATAATGACGTTCAGACGACGGTCGTAGTAAATTTATTATTCCGTCCTTAGCCGCTCGATGCAGAATGGTGGAATGATCTGTAGGAACAGACTGATTTCACTAAATAAATCTGACGCTTCCACAAGCGTCCGGCATAGAGAACGACTTTATTTCTCAAGGAAGACTTGAGCAGGTAATCAACACTCGAAAACAGCCATTATACCTCATTGAAATGTAACGATAAACTATGTAAAACGCAAGAGGGACGAAGGGTTCGGACGATCTGGCGGACTTTCGACATACACGTCCACTGACAGCACTCCTCGATGCAATAATTTCAGCTCGTTAAATGTCCCCAAGCCCGCAGCCAACATTCTTACTAAAAAGCATACTGAATGGAAGAAGCGGTTTCGTATCACATATATGTGCATCTTATCGCGAAAGAGCACATTAAACTCTTAGGACTTAAACGTGCTTAAAAAACGTAAACGAATGAACGACCTTGAAAGCATTAATGGTAGGTGTGCAAAAGTCGGTGGGCTCCAACCGAAAGCATTGTAGAGTTGCAAATGTTTAGGCACGGAAGTGATCCATTCCTGTGAAAAGAGAAAAAGCAAGGCAATGGGACAATGCGAGAAGAGAGTGCGACAGGGACAAAGACTGTAAACAGCAGCCGTGCAGGCTGCAAAGTAACTCAAGAGGAAATCACGTCGATTTGGTCACCGGAGGGAGGGGAATTATGAGAGCAACCAAGAGGAAACTTTGAGTCTGCTCAGTTAACGACCTGCCATCTTCTCATTCCTCTTCTGTTAACGAAGGGACTTAAATTACAGACAACTCCTTCGTGTCTACTGGCGAGCTCAGCAGTTTTCACTCTGAATTCTTCACGCAACGGGCTATACAACAGTGGAATACCCTCCCGCAATCAGTCGTGGATGCCAAGGCCGTACAGCTGTTCAAACAGGGCTTAGATAATTACCTGTGTCCCCTGTTGTCCCTCGACCGTATGAACTCGAATTAACACAACAGAAACCCCAGACAAGAGGTACTTGTAAAAACAATGCTACTCACTGTTTGTCAATACTATTTTAATAGTGACTATTTTATGCGTGCGTGTACAGATGTATATTACGCACCGGCATGTTATCAATAGGATTTGCAAAGGCATCGCCTATTATCCTCACCAAATAAACTGAATAAACGGAAATAAAATGAAAAGTCGCTATTGTCAACTGGAACCCCTGACAGGAGATGCGCTTCAAAAGTACTTCCATTTTGGCAGCGATTATGAACAAACTAGCTATGTTAGTGATCTTGTTCGCCCGAGGCTGAATTCTGCAAATAATCAGAGCCCAAGGCTAACAAAGCTCTATCGGCCACGTGAAAATTAGACTGTTTAAACTGAGCACAATTTTGTTGAGACCCTGGTGGGATAGAATCATGCAAGCAGTATTTTGGGTTAGAAAATAGGTAAAAAATAAAAGAAAAAAGCAAGTAACAAGTCAACGCAAAAAATGATGTAAGACGAACGGCAAACTTACGGAGCCACGTATTACGTGGGTGATGCCCATCAAATGATCGTCAACAACATTAGCAAAATGGTAAACAGGCATTCCGTCCGACTTGATGATAACCTAACAGAAAAAGTGAGAGTAGCAGCAACGCTGGGGTTATCAAAAACTAAAATTGCAAACTATAATTTAATCCAATTGACCCAATTGTGAAACATTCGCGGCCTCGGTGGGAGTCGAACCCAGACAGCAGGGAAGGCTTTTGCGCAGCCAACGCCCTACCATTGAGCTACGAGGCTCACCGTGAGTCGTGAACTTAATCGCACTTGGATCGATTTTAGCCGCCCAATTTACTGCTCATATGAAATCTACCATTACGGAAAAACAAGCTGATTGTCCAGGCAAGATTTCTT